CGCTTTCTCAAAATCACATAAAGCCATATTATAACATCGACTGAGATAAAGAATAAAATGAAATATTAAAATCACGATATATCTCGCTGCTTTGCGCGAGTACGCTTCTAGTATATATAATATGTATTCTTACCCTTGGCAAGTCCTTAATACTTGATCTATAAGAAGGTTAGGAGCTACCCTATAACTCAGGTACCATTAGGCCAATGACTTTGACAGAAATACGTAGGTGAAAGAATTGCATAATGTTTTAAGGTTTGAATTTGACACGGAAGGTTTAGTAATTTCCTGATGATCTTTGTTCCACCTATTTTAATAGGACAAGAAAACATCTTTTTTCCACTCAATCTTGTCTTGTGCACGTACAATGTCTCACCAAATCTGAGACAAGTTTTTGTTCTGCCATGTTTTGTCGTGTCCCACATACCAAATACATCTCGATATTAATAGCTTGAACAATTCTATTCTGTATGTCGGATAAAATTTGCATGAATCCAATACGGGGGCCAAAAATAGGTTCAACATATTACTTTCTGAGCTTCAGATTATGAAATTGATCGGATTACACACTACAGAAAGTGATAAACTCCTTCCATGTATGACCGTATACAATACTTATCGTTTCACCTGATCACAAGTTTCGGTACTCCTGCTAAAAGTAGACCAATATGATACAAATGGAGGTACCGCCCGTAACCAAATTCACCAAGCCCGTCACTGGTCGTCGGCTGCATTTGAGACTTATCTAAATCCAGATGGAGCCGCCTGTGCACCACCACCTGCTCCTCTCCTCGCAGCTTTAGATTGTGCAAGGATGTCGTCGTAGTTCTGAACGGTCAAAAGACGACAATCAAAAGGGTGGTTAAATCAAATAAAATGGAGAATATATGATAAAAAAAACATACCCGTTTCTCAAAAGCATGATCTCTTGAGCTAATAATCTTGTCTGCAATACCATAATCAATGGCTTCTTGGGCTTGGAAGTACTTAGGCCGCTGGATGTCTTTATGGATTTCCTCTTTTGATTTCCCAATTCCTTTTTCGAGAAGCTCTAGGAAGTAATCGGTGTTTGTATCCAGCTCTTTGGCCTTAATCCACATGTCAATAGCAGCCCCGCTTGATCGGTTCACTTTAGGTAGATATAACTTTGCTGCAATACAAAACCAACATAATAAATGGGTTCAACTGAAACAAGGCTTTCGTTCTGTTTAGAGTTATATATCTATTTCTTGAAGAGAAAAACACATCAGAAACCGCACATAATCTGTGCAGCTAGCACCAGATGCTCCTCAAGAGTTACAGAAGGTCCCAAACCTTATAATCCTCATTTAAGGCTATGTTTGGCAAACTAGCCGATAAGCTACCTGTTAGCTGAAAAGCTAACGGCTAGTTTTATGTTTGGTAAAAAGAAACAAGCTGATAAGCTTGATGACTGTAAAATGAACTAAAAGGACATGTTGAAAAATTAATGGGAAAAAAGTCGTTGGAGCTTATGGCTAATCAAACAATGCTTTTTCAGTAAGCTCAAAAAATTAGCTGGCTTATGGTTGCCAAACATGGGATAAATAATTGCTGCCCAATCTTTTGTGTTCTCCAGATTGCAACATCTTCCTAGAATATATGCCATAATGTTTAACCTTTAATTAAGCAAAAGTCACACATTTAACAAGGGATGGACTAGAATTTAGAAAGGGTAGTGGATGAAACTCCAGCAACGGGATCACGCACAACTACTGAAAAATCTTGTGGAATAATGACCTTTTAGCAAAACCAAAGAGCAAAAATGTTTCTTTACATTATATCTTAAGAAACAGAAGGACCAAACATATTTGCTGTTTGGCCCTCGTCAAATTTATTACATATACAGCAAACTATCACCATAAAATGCGACACGTGGGTGGATAAGAAGAAGACCTTAAGCTAAAAAGGTGCAAAGTTGTGCTGATTGAAGGCAATTTGATAAACGTTGATTGTAGGAAATAGATAAAGGAAAAACATATTGCCATGTGACTGAAAGCAATAAAAATTCACCAAAAAAATGATCTAAAATTGAATTATGCTTAGTTCTGTAAAGAAAAGCAAGAACATACTGGATGAATTTGGCTGCATTGCACGGTATCCTTTGGTTCCAAGGGCTAAAAGCATTGCTGCTTGACCAAATGCCATGCCACAATTGACTGTATACACCTCTGACTTGCAATACTTGAAGCCAATCACGGAAAAAAGTTAAAAAGAATTCAATAAAATGGTTGCCCATGAAGTAAATAAGCATTAGAAAAACCCCATCTAATGGCTTAGTAAAATCTAAAAGGGTGACAACTCTTGGAACCTTTGTGGAGAAAAGATGCCATGTACAATGGTTTCCGTTTAAAAGCTTGCCAATTTGTTCAACAATGTTATTTTTCTTGCATTTGTGCTAGAATGATGGTTTGTTTGCAACAGAAAACCATGTAAGATGGTGGAAAAATTGATCACTCAAATCTAAAAACACCGAGTATTTCAATTAATATTGCACCGAATTTTCTAATTATTTTGATTAAAGTAAACAAAACAAAAACATTGGAGTACTGCTTACAGCCATGATATCAGCAATTGCATATGCCTCTGTTTCAGATCCAATCGTCTCCATTTCGTCATTCTAAGCAATGCATCATGGAAAGAATCAGCTCATGAAGATACGTTCTAAAGTTTCAAAATCATAAAAGGAACGAAGCATGACCTGTGTTCCAGATGAATTAATATATAGATATATAGGCTTAGCTGGATTGTCATAATCCAACCACATAAATTGAGCAACAAGAAGCTCCGTCACTGCTGGAACAATCTGGAGCAATCAAAGTGGAAAGATCATGATGATTCTACTAGAATGCAAGGTTATAATAAGAAAATCAAATAAATTCAGGTAGACTGTCTTACGGGCATTCCTAGGTAGCAAATTCGAGCATCTAAAAGCAATGATGGCAAATCAGGAGGAGCGCTTCTAGGTCTTCCACCTGGTCTACCTCCTCCACGATACATGCTCACACTCATACTGTATTTAGCAGGACCACTATCATTCATTCCCGACATACTCCACATTCCTCCATTGTTCAAGTAATTATGAGAGGATGAGATAGTTTCCTGAAAAAAAAAAAGAATAAATTTACACAAAATAGAAAAACCAACTCAACTCAATAGTTCAAGATAAATGAGTTCCACTTTACTTTTTGTTATGAATACAAGATAACGAAATAGGACACAAAAACGTTCAACAAAATATAAAAATAGAACACAAACAAGACCATCACAAAATTCCTCCGAAGAGAGAGGCATAAGGGTAGGATCATGAAAGATTGCAACATTTTTCCATGCCTATCCAATTTATTATCTCTTTCTTTCTAATTTTGCATTTGCTATACTGCTGTGATTTGATGGGAATGATTAAAACAACATGTAGACACTAAAAAAATACTTTGATTCATGAGAAGAAACTGCAAAGTGAAGAGACCTCTGTGACACTTTCCGCCTGCCGGCTTACAGGGTTATCTTCCGTCATGAACATGTCCATCTGTGAAGGACTAAGACCATACAGATGTTGAGGAACATTCTTGAAATTGTCCATCACTGCAAAAGTAGAAAGGGGAAGACACACTAAGGTCTCAGCTTCCAATGGCAACATAAATATCAAGAAGCAGACTAACGATTTAATAAACAACAGATAGCAATGACATGGCAATCAATCAGGCCTCATCACACAAATAATTTGTCACACTACCAGTGTTCACTGCCAGGATGACATGGCAACACATAGCAACGTTATCAGCATATGTATTCACTTGTTTGACATTAAAACAATAATTTCAAAAACGATAGATACCATCAAATACAACTATATCATGATTTAACCCTAGAACACAAAAAGGCAAATTAATGTTCAGCAAATTGATAAATGTCGAGAACTAATTACGCATAAGAGAAGGAGAGAAGAGCAATTAAGTAATAATAGTTGATTGGAGAAGGGCAAGATGGTCATTACAGGAGGAGAGTTGGTTGGTTGACGGCAACAAGTTGGTTCTGGAAGTTGTTAGGAGAGGAGATATAAATAGTGGAGTAGTGGGTTTTGTAAAAGCATTCTGATTCCTTTTCATTCAATTTGTGTAATCGAATAGGACACTTGAAACCAACAATATTCGTTCAATCGATCACCAATTTTACCAATTTGTATCACAAATATCACTGCCAAAAATAGTTTTGAATTAAGAAAATGACCTTTAACTTATCACGAAGCAACTACTAGTGCAGGCAATTTTGTTTCATATAGAAAACAGTTGTGTTTCTGTTTCCAAACAAAATCATTCATGACTCGGTGGTAACATTTTTGATTAAAAAACATTGCTTGCTATTCTGTTTTGTTATTTAATACATAGAGAAAGGTCGTGCAGAGACGGTAAGGGGGCGTTTACCAAACGCTTACCCGGGTAGACGCTTCCCAAATCACATTACCTTACTGGATGAATATGGCAAAGACCAAGAATCTTACCCAGTAAGAGCGAAGACAAGGACCGAGAGTCTTACCCGGTAATTGAGTGCGATGACTCTTACCACGGTTAGCGCTTACCGGGTAAATTGTTGCATACTGGATCGTTTTGGTGGACTAAAATCTTACGATACTGTTTTGGTGGACTAAATCTTACTCGGTAAGTAAGTGATAGTGTTGAATTTTTCCGGTATGCGTTTCCTTAACATTCATTAGACAAATTTATGATATTCAAGCTGGAAGATGAAAGCTGTAGCATGCAGCCTCATGGCCTTTTGATTTCTAACTCATACACAGACAGTAGCCCGTTCCAACATAACACACATACCAGAATACCAGAGCAAGACAGCAACGTTTAGGCCACACTTTCTTTCATAAATTTTCATGCATACTACCTCCTCTTATAGGCTCATTATATTTATATTACAAGAAACATAAAAGTACAGAGACCTGATACTGAAATGAAACATGCTTTCAATTGTGAATCAAATATTCCTATGAGGCTATGAGCACTCTAGCAACCTCAAATCTGGCACTTGCCTGGTCCTATATTTTATTGTTGTAGTTCTTGTACTCCCCACAATCCCTCTAGGTCTCTAGCCAACCACTATTGTACATCCTTATTTACATCCCAAAGCGGTTGAAAATTTTCTGCTCGTAAGATATGGTTATTTGAGACATAATCCCTGTATATAGGAGAAGAAATTGAGTGGAGCAAAAAAAAAAATCAAGATTAATGGAGCATTTAGCCAGACAGTTCATGAGTTCATTGATAGTGCTTCGTCATTATATACCTTTTATGAAGACAGAAAAGGAAAAAAACACTTATAAGCATAACCAGAATTTAGCATACAACAAGCCATCTAATGGCAAATGCTATACACATTCCCACCTTATATATCAAATTAATCAACTTTTATATTTCACTTTATAGCCCAAAATTGAACTTGATGATGTTTTAGGATCCATGCTAAAATCATGCGAAACATAGCTTGAGCATGAAAAAACAGCATCACAACTGACTTTAAACCGAGACTTATTCCAACATAATTCCTATGCTCACATAAGACACCACCATCTTGAATGCCCTACCTTGTTCCTTCAAAGTGCTCGATACTAATATACACCATCCCATTTAATTAAATATAAATCATACTATTGTAATACCATCATTACGATGCCATTTTATTAATATAACGGTTTCAGTTCAGAGAAGCTCCTCTGCTGCTGTTTCAAAGAAAGACATCATCTTCAATTATGATCTATGTTATAGGCATAAATAACTAAATTCTAGGAAATGAAATCGACAATACGACACCTCATGGACATTCCCTTCTAATATTTCAAATTCTTGACGGATTAGAAGTTCCTTTGGGTTTCCTCTTTTCTTTTCTCTAGCTTAATAAGCTTTCATTTCTGACGACTAAACAGTGATCAAGTTAAAAGTTTAACTCTTGCCATTTCTGAAGTATAAAACAAGGCAGGTAAAGCAGCCTTGGACAATCGTAACTGCAAATAAGTCTAATAACCTTCCAAATTCTCTTTTCTACTAACCTTTCCGATCAAGTACCTCACTTAGGAAAAGACAAACCCTATTTTTATCATGTCAAACCTGGTACCTCCATATGAAAAAATTATATCTGAAAAGCTCAAAACATATATCTTTACATCAAACAGAGGGAATACAAGGTATACAGTTTGATGTTATTTCAAAATCCATATCAATCTTGAGGTGCAAAAAACCTGCTTCACACCAAATGTCAATTGTAATTTCTTTTTCAGTGTGTATGTTGGGAACAGGGTATGGAAGGACTACCATATTCATCTTCACCAACACGTTTCCGATTCAGTTTAGGGTTTCAATTCATCTATGTTCCAAAAATCACAATCACAGAAACCAAGCTAAACGTAATCATACAAATTGATACGTCAAACCAAATTCCATCACGAATCCAAAATATCGACAATCGTTGTTCAAGCCAACGGCCATCAACATGAACAAAATACACAATTAGCAGGAAACATATCATAAAAGTAGATTAGCGAGACTCACATCCATCTTGAAGGTTTCCTTCCCTAAACTGCTTGGGTATGTGATCGAGAGATTTATCCCCCGCCGCCGCAGTCACCGGAGACCTAAAGCATCGTCCCCTGACCGTAGCATCTTTCCTGGGAGTAGCACAGATGAAGTGGGTGGTGTTGTGAAGAAAGGAAGATTTCAAGAACAAAGTGGTAGAACTACTGGAGTCCCGATTATTGTCGACCGTTGGAGCAGATAGAGGCGAAAGGAGTAGCGACGTCGCCATAACTCTCTGCAACAAAAGGGTTTCGGTGGAATCTTGATTTATCTATATTTAGTTGTATGATTTTTGTGACCAAGAACGACACGACGATGAGGCCTCTACGTTTCTTGCTAACGGCGTTGATGCTTCCACCGTCGACATGGTTGTGGATTGGGCTTGGTCCGTACCCAGACTTTTGTGGGATCCATTTCATATTGGGCTACTCATTAGATTCAAAATGAGTCCAATAGAAAAACAGTTAAATAACAAAATCAAAATCGAAATCGAAATCGACCTTAAATCACTCAAAACATTGGGCGTATTTTGATGTTAACTATTCAATTAATTGGTAGCTAATAAACTAACTGATAAATAAGGGGTTATTTGACAGTTGCTGAATGTTTTGGTGTAGAATGATTAAGTGGTCATAATGATTAAGAGGTTTTCATGATATAGTGCAAAATGAAATATAATTAGTTGGTAATTGTTTACAATGAAATTATGGCGCTTAATAGTTAAGGGAGACTCATGATACAAAATCATTCAGAAGGTTTTAAAACCATTAAGAGGCAAACTTTTTTTTTGCCATACAATATTTATCTCTTAATAGAACTATTAAGAGGTAAGCAAACAACCCTAAATCATGTTTAATAAAAACTAACTGATAAGTTAGATAAAAAATGTAAAATGACTAAAAAGAACATCTTGAAATTAAAAATGAAAAGCTTCAATAAAAGTTGTATTCAACATTTTTTTTTTCATTTTAAAGATTACAACATTAATTATGTCATCAAAATATTTGATATCTCGATAAAATTTTAAATAAGTACAAATGATAATACAATTAACTCCGTTGATGGAAACAGTAAAAATCAATTTCTCTCACATAACAATCATTTTCTGAAAAGTATCCAAATTGGAAGTTTTTTTTACCTTCTCTCCCTTATTTCCTGCATAATCTTATGTTCTTGTTATTCTGCATATCGGAGAATCTGTTGAAATTACTTTTAAGTGACGCTTACTCGATAAGAGAGAGGAAAAGATCGAGAGTTTTACCACGGTCAGTAAATAATAATGTTGAGTTTTACCGGTAAGTACTAATCAAGTAAGTGTTTGGTAAACGACTCATTAAGGTTGTTTAGAACTATGATCAACTCAAACTAAGAGTTGATTTAAAAAAAATTATAGAACCGAAAAAATTATAATTTAAAACGATCAAACCAACAGGAAATTCGTGTTTGGGAAAATACAAAATAAAAACCCGTACATAATATAAACAGTTTGAATTTGGTTGTTGGATTTTAACGATCTAGAAGCCTTAGACCCAGTTTTGTTGTCTTTTGTAATAAGCAAAAGGGATTTTTGTAACTATATTGTTGTTTGGGGCAAAAATGGCCAGACTTTTCTTGCCATTTGCTAAACATTATAAAAAAAAAGAGTATTTTTTTCATCGGTAATTATCGATGGATTTATGGTGATCACGGGCTAATTGACCAAAATCCATCGGTGATTGAAAATTCACTGGTAATTCGCCAGTAATCACAATCACTACCCATCCCCGCAATAAGATCCGTTGTTGATGGCTTTTTCCGACAACTACAGATGGATTTTTCTTTATTTTATAGTGAAAACCTATGAATGTCGACGAGTCAACGACTGGGGTTCTAAAAACATGTTGCTCTCACGATTTCCTTCACAAAATCATTCATATTACGTTTTCAATCCATCCCGTTTGACTGCTAAACTCAATGTTAAATCCAACTTTTAAATACATGAAATGGTGAAATCGTATGCCAAGCAACACAAAAAGGTCAAAGGCTGAGATTCAGTGTGTTCTTATATAGTTTGCAACACTAATTAAATAACTTTTGATATTTTATGCTAAAAAACTTGTTTATAAATGCTTATAGTTGTGTTTGCGAATAGATTAATAGGGCTTAGTGCGTCTCTAACAGATTTCCAATAGAGATTTTTGGCATATTTTTTGCTCCAATTCACTCTCCTAATCTTTCTGTAAAACAGCGAAAGTATGAAAAAGTGTAAAAATCTTCAAATTTAGATAACACCCCAAAAATGATTGCAAGGAGAGAGAAATATTATTTGATATATTTACACCAATTGGAACATGTATAAAGTAGTGATCATATACTCAAAAGAGTAAGAGGAAACTCACTTAAGGTCAGAGCCAAACCACATACTCTTACGCTAGGATTTCACCAACCGAATATTAAAAATACAAATTAAAAAACCAAAAGTCCTATAAAATGTATAACTAATAAGCTTCTTAGACAAAGACCATAACCACACCCCCAAATTACACGCTATGAAAATCTATAGGTATGACGAAGCAGTAGCTTGCGCGACCTGGCACACGGCCTAGGTCGCGGGGGTACCCGCAGGAGGCATTATTGTCCGCGCAGCTGCTGTTTCGTCCCTGTTCTCATCTGATTCCCATTCCCATCCTGAAAATCTACATTCCAACACCACAAAATCCACATTAAACATGATATTGTTAGTTATTACTTACAATAAAGATCGAATCTTTAATAACTAACAATAAGAATCATTCTCCAACATAATAAAACCCTAAATCCCAATTTTAAGTTTCAGAAAGAGAGAAACATTCAAGGAGTGAAAATCAAGATTCAATCTCCTTCTCTTCTTCAATCTTTCGGAATTTCTTCTCCAACCATTTCTCTCTCTCCAACCAAATTTCACACACACACTGACATACGCGCCTTGATTTCAGTCGACTCAAATGAGAAAAGATTGGAGATCCACTCCTTTTAACCTCAAAATACAATTCCAGCCCCTGAAGATAAGATCAGTTTTCAGTTTCCCCCTCCAACATCATTTATTTACCCAAAATCAGAAATTGGGTTATTACAACATATATACATACATTGCAAATCATATAGAAATGTGGATTGAAATCCAGTTTTATAGATGAAACATCACATGTGCATATTAATATCATGAAAATCAACCAAAATCATCCATGATAAGCTTTTTTGGATTTTTAATATACATTGTTTATTTTTCCAATGCGACAACGATTATTAATTTTGCAATCAATAATTGTTATCATTGCAATATTTTTGAATTTAAGGCATTACATTTGTTTACATTGACAAGATGTATCGTATTTTGTACAATTATATATGTATATGTATATAGGGCGGTCATTCAAAGGAAAAATCAATATTTTATGAAATCTAATTTTAACCAAAAATCAAAGTTTAAATTAGAAAATTAGTAATTTTGGTAATTTTGATTGAATATTTTAATTAATGACATTTTTGGTATTTTAGATGCTTATCTTTCCTCTCTAATCTTCCCTCTGGCTTAAACATTCCACTTTGATACCCATCATATACACGTTGTGATACATTAAATAAGATCATTCTTTCTATATACACACATTGATATCTACTGTGATAACCACTGTCTACACGTTATGATACATTAAATATGATCATTCTTTCTATATACCCAATGATATCTACTGATGTCTAATGTGATACTCATTATAAATATACTAGTTGTGTACCCGTACAATGCGGCGAAAGCCATGAATTTAACGATGATATATGTTACACTTGGTCTTTACATATTAATACAATTTGAATAGATAAGAGTTATGGTTCCAATTACAGACTATCGATGAAAAAAAATTGTATGACAATTTAAAATCCAATATATTTAAAATCCAACATATTTAAACGACTCCACAAATGTGTTCGATTTACACCAAGAGCAAAGAACCAAGAAACTTGAATTTTAAGATAAACACTCAAAACCAATAAAGAAAACTACAAATTTGACAGATCATAAGCCATGAAAAGATAAAAAAAAAAGATGGGTTTTAAAATGAAATTTCAACTGCTTACCCTCTTTCTTGTCCAGAAACTCAGATTAAGGTTGATTTAATACATGTATATATATATATATATATATATATATATATATATATATATATATTTCAAAAAAACCCAAGAACATATTAATTCAAGACATATTATACAGTGCAATTTGGACAGCTTAAACCCAAAATATATATAATATATATAAATAAATAACTATAAAAGTATAAATCGTAAATATTAAAAATATTTTTCACAGTATATATAAATATATAATAATATAATTAAGTCAAAAACTATTCAATATTGGACTTATTTCGAAGGTATTAACGAGACGATTATAATGGTGTAACTTGTTAAAATAAAAATGTATTTTTTAAACATGTTTTAATTGATATACGATTATGTATATTAAATTGATAAATGTTTAAAATGAAACATTTAAAAGTAAAGAATATAAAGTAAATTAATTAACTAATTATATTAGTATAAAGCGTAAATTTAAAAATATAATTTTAAAAAATTCGGTTGTGAAAATGTGAGTGTATGTGAGGGGGTAAGTGTATGTGAGAAGATGAGGGGATGAAAAAAGTGATATAAAAGGTATATTGGTCATTTAGTATTTTAAGACTTTAAGACTTTTGTTAAATTTGCTTTATAAGATAGTATATATATATATACATATATGTAATGATATGTATATGTAATGATACCTTAAGATACAAAATATAATACACTGTAAACAACGAAAATACATAATGTAATACAACTGAAATAAATAAACAACGAAAATACATAATGTGATACAAAGAAAGCAAAGAAACAACTAAAATACACTTTATATTACTGATATCAAGGATTCAAAGATAACACACTATAGAGAGTTATGTATTTCCTATTTATGGAGAAAATAAATAAATTCAAACGTATTTATAAGTTGTCTTCTTATTACCAAATTACCCTTTTCTATATATTTAATAAATAACATAATTATCTTAAATAAATGATTCATATTCGATCTTACGATTATTTATAAATTATCGACTTTTATTTGACTAGATACATACGTATGTACATATGTATATGATCATACACACAAATTGAAAAGTAAGAGGGCATTAACAAGTGCTTACGTAAGGCATTACCCCATAAACTCAAATTACTTGTACCCCAAACCATACATTTGCCGACAAATTGGTAAACTTACATTACCAAACTTTATCATCATTTTCCATTTCTTTTTTAATTTTATTTTATTACAAATATACATAAAATTATTTGGGATCAAGTGAAACCAATCTATTTTCATGAGACCATTTTTTTACACTTAAAAAAAGTTTATATTTTTTTTTTCATAACATTTTGCAATAAAATTTCAAATATAAAAAAATAGTTTTACAAATCTCATAAAAACAGTAAATGACGTCAGCAATCGTTAGTGACAAGTGCCAACTGTTGGCGTGTCTTCCAACCAATAACTTGCCGCCAAACCAGCAAATTCATATGACGTGGCCTTTTTTCTACCAAACTAACCTCCACATTCCATGCTTTACTTCCCACCTTCACCCAATACGTGATTTCAAATTAAATCGTTTAATTATTTAACCAGAATTTTCAAATATCTTATTTTTAAAAAATACAATAATCTTTTTATTAATATATTTTAATTAATATATCTTAATATCAATTTCGTTAATTATCCGCAACCGTGTTTTATTCTTGTATTAAGTTTCTTAAAATTATATTAACTAGTTGTCTACGGTTGACTTTAATCAAATTATTAATTATTATCACGACTTACTCGAATATCCATTTTTAATCGTTCAATCTGTTAAAACCCATTTAATTAACCACAAGGGTGGTGTCTGATTGGTTTGAGTTTGGCTCCAAAGATCAAAAATACCAGAAGGTTCCAGATTCAAATTCAAAGAGGAATAAAAATCTTTTTGTGGCTACAGAGGTTCAAATGTGATGATTCCAAGCTATCTGCAAAACAGATGTTGTCCTAAAATTAGTCGGGTTGGATACCTAGATTAATAAGAAAAATCCATTTAATTGTTGCAAGTTGACATATAAGTCGGTAGATATTTAAAATTACCATGTGATTTTTTAAATAGTGTAGTTTTTTATTTAAAATACATTTTTATAAAAAGAAATATAAAAAACACCGAGATAATGATTGGGAGATAAAGGATACACGTGGCTAGCTGGAGATTCTTCCGTGACAGGAGATAGCCTACCCTGTAAGTAACACAACAACCTCAAAACACAAAACTACTACCACCTCCTTTATTTTTTTCCTTTTTATTTTTATTTTTAGATTTTGTTTATCTATATACTATATTATAAAATATTTGATAAAAAAATTTAAAAATAATTTTTTATGTATAAAATACTGTTTATTGATACATATTACTTAAAACTCAAGATTATAAGTTGATTGTGCGTAAATACAATTTATTAAAGTTTCATGTTTGAATTCGTATAACTAACTGCAGATAAACATAATCAAATACATGATAAACATCATTTTAAAAATAAAAAATCTAAAATATAATTAAGATAATTATTGAGTTTTATCAGAATACTTAATTATTATCTTAAAAAATTATTTTATTAAACCAAAAATAAATTAGTTTGTTTTTAAAATTCAATTAAATTATAATAAATAATTGAATTAAAGAAATTACACAAAAAAGAGAGCTATGATTCTAATATCGTTTATTTTTATCAAAATTTTATGATATCTTCAAATTTATATTTCATTCAAAAAAATATATTTTATTTTCTCAAAACCACATAAAATTGATATACCCAAAATATAAAATGAAACATTAAAATCAAGATGTATTTTGATGCATTGCACGAGTACCTTTCTAGTATTTCTATAAAAAATATAATAATATCTATTATTAAGTTTAAGTAACTTATACATACAATTATACAAGTTGCATATATAAAATCACAAAATATTTGTTTGTATTGTTTCGGACGATAACAACTTTCATTGATTAAACAAGCCGTCAAATAATTAACAAACTTGTTGATAATAACAATGCTTACGATCCATTCATTTCAAATAAATAATCAAAAATACGTTTTGTCTAATGTTTGCTTTCAAAAGGGTGTTTACATTTCTTCTCTAATCGTACAATTACGTGATTTGATAATTATTTCCGTTTTAATTATTGAAATTAAGAAAAAAAAAGATAACAATTTAGCTGTGAAAAGCAATAAAAACATGTAGTTATTTAAGATATTACGAGTCATTGTTTCTACGTCCCATCAACCTAAAAAAAACACATGTCGTAATTCAAAGACGTAGAAATTATTGGATTTGAAAATTGAACGACGCGTGTCAAACTATTTATTATGGGGTTTTTTTCCCTGTTCCTTTACGTTTTCACTAATCCAAAACTTATACCAAAGTCGTTACTAGGCTTAATCTTATGGTAACGTAAAATAACGTGTTTGAGAGGTTTTAACACAGATATTAAAAAATATTATACATGACAGAAAAAAGTCAATTTTGTTCTGTGATTTCTTTAAATAAATATAGACTTAATTAATCACATACCTTAAAAAAAACACGAGTAAAAGAAGGTGAAGGTGTCTACAGGTATTTTGGTATCACGTCCAGGATTCCACTGTCTGTTTTATGTTGAAGTGGTTGAGTCCAGCTACCGACGCAGAGAAAAAAATATGATATTTAATTTAAATAAAACATTTTAATTGATAATAGTATTTAAAACGTTTTAATGTAAAAGATAAAAAAGAAAGTGAAAAAGAATGAAATTATGGAAAGTAAAGGAGGAAAAGGAGACGTTTGTTTGCATTTGACTTTTCACAACTCATCACTCCCACCTTTTCTTTCTTGCAAAAGCTATTATTATTATTATTATTATTATTATTATATATCTTAGGTATGCAACTTTATATTTCTAAAAGGTATGAGAAACATGATTCCAAAATACAGCGAGATAAATTTTGATTCTTATTTTGTTTTATTATTTATTTCAATTAATGTTATAATATGATTTTATGTGATTTCGAAAAAATAATATTATTTTTAGTTTTAAATAAAATATACATTTAAAGATATTAAAAAAAATTAATAAAAATATATCGATATTAGTATCAAATTAACTATTTAAAATTTTTCATTTTTTTTTTCAAAATTTTTACTATAATTTAATTTAGGTTCAATAATGAATTAATTTATATTTGATTTAATAATATAATTTTTTATAAATATAATAATTTAATTATTTTATTAAAACTCAAAATTATCTTAATTATATTTTATATTTTAAAATGAGATGTTTATTCTTTATTTAATTATGTTCATCCTTAGATAGTTACACGAATTTAAACATGAAACTTTAATAAGTTATACTTACGCATAATTTACTTGTAATCTTGAATTTTAAGTAATATGCATTAATAAACAATACTTCATGCATGAAAAATGGGTTTTAAGAGTTTTTGTCAAATATTTTATAATGTAGTATAGATAATATCTTCGAAATTTGATTCATTTAGTCATTTGGGCATTAAAAAAGTTTATTTTATTTTTAAATGTCATTTGAAAATTTAAGTGGTAAATGTATCACTTATTCCTTAATACCTTTTAATCTTAATATGCCCTCTATCACATGGTTTTGGGGGCTGAAAAGAGCTTTGTTAACAAAAACTATTCATGTTTTATACTTTTGTAAAAAAACTATTCATCTTTTATATTTTTGCATTAGTTTGACAGATTCAGATTTCAGACGTAAAAACAAACAATCTTATGGATCCAGATTTCGGACTTCAGGACCACCTCTTATAAATCAGAAGTGAAACCAGAATTCAGACTTCATCACCTCTTAAAAAACAAACACTATCTAAAAGAGTACAAATGTTATAAAATAATTAATGTAAATAAATACATAATTTAATAATAATATTTTCTCAGAATATATAAATATGTATTTATACAATTTTTATACATTGAGGGGTTGTTTGTTTACCTCTTAATAGTTCCATTAAGTGGCAACATCTGAATCGTTAAGAGATGAATCTTAATTGACAAAAAAAAATCTATCTTTTAATGATTCTAAAACCCTATGAATGATTTTGTATCATGGGTCTTCCTTAACAATTAAGAGCCCTAATTTAATTGTAAACAATTACCAAACAATTATATTTCATTATACACTATATCATGAGAGCCTCTTAATCATTCTACATCAAATTATTCAACAACAGCGAAACAACTCCTTATATATAAAAGAGAGTATAGATGTTATAAAGTAAAAACAATAAAAATCTTAAAAAATTAATTATTAAATTATATATTAAAATAAAATTGAAAAAGAGAAGGTTTATCCCCCAAGTCCTACTCCACTCCCACTCCATCTTGTTGAGCGATGACCGACTTCACCACCCAACTACTCAACGTGTAACCACAACACTCCCACCACGCAACTCTACCCCCACCTTCGCTCCCACCTTATATATATATATACACACACACACCATATATATATATCTATATCTATATAGTACTCCACTCGTATATCACTCAACCTCTCTCTCTCTCTCTCTCCATCTATGGCGCTTGAAGCTCTCAACTCATCCCCTCCGCCGCCGCCCCCCGCCCCTCTCCGCTGCCGCGACGTCATGGAGGATCATCTCCACCCTGTTCAAGACTCTAATTGGAATAAAGGCAAGCGTTCTAAGCGCCCACGAAGCACCACCACTGATGACGACGTCGACACCACTCTAGATCTTCCACCTACCGAGGAGGAGTACTTAGCCTTCTGTTTGATGTTGCTTGCTAGTGGCAACCCCGCCACCACCCTACCACCGCCGCACCATAATAATAATAATACTAATACTAATACTTACAAGTGTAGCGTCTGCAACAAGGGGTTTGGTTCTTATCAAGCACTTGGTGGGCATAAAGCAAGTCATCGGAAGAATAGTATTAACGCCGGTTCCGATGATCAGCACCCGTCGACATCCTCTGCCACCTTCTCTACTTCCTCCGTTTTGAAGCCTACTGGCAGAGCCCACGAGTGTTCCATCTGCCATAGATCATTCCCCACCGGCCAGGCACTCGGTGGTCACAAAAGACGTCACTACGACGGCAACAACCCCACAACCTCTGCTAATTCCTCCACCCCTACCCACCCACGTGATTTTGACTTGAATTTGCCTGCTTTCCCTGAATTCCAATTGGGTTTAAGCGTCGAGTGTAGTGGGAAGAAAAGTCAATTGTCGATGAAGGAACAAGAGGTTGAAAGTCCACTTCCGATGAAGAAACCACGTCTGTCGATCATGGCAGATTAATTCAAGATAATTAACCTCCTCATTCATCATCATCATCAAATTCGTTGGGTTTTTTTTTTATAAATTACAGTTATGATTAGAATTGATGGATGTACATAGAATTCTTGTTTTCTTGATCATCGTTGATAAAAATATACAATTGATTTGATTGATTTAATTTTAAATTTAAAATGGTGTGATAATATGATTAAACTTGGCATGTGGGTATATTAATGCACATGTGAGAAACCCATTTTTCATGGCAGCAATCACTAGTACCCATTTATAATTCCCTTTTATTTGAAAAGTCTAAAAAAATTCAATAGACTTTATTGTTTGAATAATTAAGTCTTTCGATAATTTTTTGAAACAAATAAATCTTTGACATTTCAAAATTTGTTAAATAAATCATTAGATTTTTTAAAACTTGTTAGATATATTCTTATGATTTATAAAACTGATTAATATGATAAAATAAGAAAAAAAAAGAAAAAAAGAAAGAGTAATTCGGTAACCGATTGTCGTGCTGGAAACACTTTTCGCTACCTTTCAATTTAAAACAACCAAATTGCGTATCTAAACACGCATATTCTAAACTATGGGCTTTTATTATTATTTCAACCTAATTAATGATAATAGAAAATTAAATCAGATAAACACAATAAATTTCACTTTAAAAAAAATAATGAACTATAAAATGATTTATTTGTAAGGATCGGGCCACGTTTATCACGTTCCAAACAAAATGACAAGTCTGGTGAAATCGAAATAGGAAAAAGGACTGATTATAAGTATAATGGTTGAGAAAGATGATAAAAAGTCAAAAGTCGGAGTTATTGTTAGATTAAATATCATTTATGTTTTTGGAAATTCTTAAACTTTGAAAATTTAAGTAGGAAATGGGACGATCGACATCGCAAAGGGAGGATGACGAGGTAGGGTGGGGCGGATGGTGGGTCGATTATGACTTGTGTTATATTTGTGTATACGTTACTTTTTAGAATATTGTAATTGAATTCTGATAAGTTTGTATAAATACTGGTATAATTTATATAACTTCTTTTTCGTTTAATTTTTTTTGAATTTGATATTGATTTGAAGTACATATCATAACTCATATTTAGGTGTTTGTCCGATAACATGAAAATTTCACTTGAGAAGTGATGTATGAATACCGGATCCGATCAATGATAATGGACCGTGGCATTTAATAAAGCTTCACAAGATTCTGTACGGACTTTTAACGACTAATTTTACAGTGAAGAGATGAACCAAAGCTATTAAATGAGTTGTTACTCAGGCGATTAACAACCAGATAGATTATATTTCTGCTAAACAAACGTAAATGAATATGAATGAACAGAAATTTGAATAAACACAAACATACAAATCATCATTACTCGTCGTTTCGTTCCTAAAAAAACATAACAAAATGAAAAACCAGGTAAATAGGAGAAACAAAAAAGGAATTCTAAAAGTTTAATTAACAGTTTCACATATTAATGTCATAATATACAAAACACAATTATATATATATAAACAAATGTAGACAAACAAAAATGAACGAACGAGACCATTACTCATGTTCGTTCATTTAACTAAACAAAAAAAAATGTGTTCATGATCGTTCATTTATTACATAAACGAACTTTTGTCGAATAGTTTGCTGAACGTTCGGTTCATTTACAACTCTAGATAACACTAACATCTCCAACGATGACTGAGATTAGCCGAAAATTCACCATAATTCTAAAGAAAATAATCAAGAAATATTAGGAAGAAAAAAGGAAATGAATGGAGTTAAGTGTGGCCCAAACTAAAACCCAATGAAGCAGGCCGACGCTTATTTAAAATAAATTAAAAGTAAAACACGACCATGAACCATCTAATAAAATTGGAGACCCGACACAAAACCTATCGGTAACTATTTTTTCTTAGTTATTATTGATTTTAGGGACTAAGGGGTGTTCGAGATTGCAGAAACAACTTATTGACTTATTCCGGTGTGACATTAATAATAAACATTTTTGAGTGTCAGGATAAACAACTTATACCGGTGCCAAACCGGTAATAAGGAGTTTTTGTAGAAGTTAAACCCTTCTGACTTGTAAAAAAATATCGATTTTTAATGTATTTTAGTTGATAATTAATTAATATAATAACTAATAAGGGTATAAATGATTAATGATAAATGAAAAAGTAAGAAAGTAAATTGAAAAACATTAAAGTCCTTGTAAGGTCAAAATTAGAGATGAATTTTTTCCCGTAAGGGCAGGGATTTCCCGTTTTGACGGGTAACGAGGAGGGGATGGGGGTTTATTTTCATATCCATAGCAGGGTTAGGGTGAGATCGGGGATGACATTACCCGCCCCTAATCCAACCACGATTTATTATTTTTGTTAAATATATGTATATAGTGTGTATTAATAAACAAATATGTATGTATATACATATGTATGTAAACATTCAGTGTTAAATATATTTGATTTTCAATATTGGTAATTAATGTAGCGACGATTTATTATAACTAGTTGTGTACCCGCGCAATGCGGCGGGAGCTATGAATTTTAACGATTTTGAAGTTCCACTGGTTTTATAAGATAAGATTTAACGATGATATAGGTTATACTTGGTTTTTACATATTAATACAATTTGAATAAATAAGAGTTATGGTTCCAATTACAGACTATCGATAAAAAAATTGTATGACAGTTTAAAATCCAATATATTTAAAATCTAACATATTTAAACGACTCTACAAATGTGTTCAATTTACACCAAGAGCAAAAAACCAAAAAACTTGAGTTTTAAGATAAACACTCAAAACCAATAAAGAAAACTACAAATTTGACAGATCATAAGCCATGAAAAGACAAAAAAAGATGGGTTTTAAAATGAAATTTCAACTGCTTACCATTTTTCTTATCTAGAAACTCAGATTAAGGTTGAATTAATACATGTATATATATATTTCAAAAAAAAAACCCAAGAACATATTAATTCTGAACATATTATACAGTGCAATTTGGACAGCCTAACCCCAAAATATATAGTATATATATAAATAAATAACTATAAAAGTATAAATCGTAAATATTAAAAATATTTTTTCACARTATATATAATATATAATAATATAATTAAGTTAAAAACTATTCAGTATTGGACTCATTTCGAAGGTATTAACGAGACGATTATAATTGTGTAACTTGTTAAAATAAAAATGTATTTTTTAACATGTTTTAATTGATATACGATTATGTATGTTAATTTGATAAATGTTTAAAATGAAACATTTAAAAGTAAAGGACGTAAAATAAATTAATTAACTAATTATAGGGATATAAAGTGTAAATTTAAAATTATAATTTTAAAAAAATCAGTTGTTAGAGGGTGAGTGTATGTGAGGGGGTGAGTGTATGTGAGGAGAGGAAGGAGTGAAAAAGTAGTATAAATGGTATCTTGGTCATTTAGTATTTTAAGACTTTAAGACTTTTGCTAAATTTGCTTAATAAGATAGTATATATTATAATTTTAAAATACATTGTTTTGATTGTTTTTTATTTTTTAACTAAATGGGTGCCCAACGGGTTCCCCGAACCCACCGGGGATTCCTTCCCCTGAACCCGTTGGAGATTAATCGGGGTGGGGTCAAGGATGAGGGCTTAAACGAGGGACGGGTCGGGAATGGGGGATGCATTACCTGTCCAATACCTACCCCGTTTCTATCCCTAGTCAAAATGGTAACTTATCATCAACCACACTTCTCAAATTGTGCACAGTGTGGTTTTAATTTTCTAAAATTTTCGTATAAAATTGGGAACTCCTAAAACTTTTAATGTTTTATGGTTTCATCCAAAAAAATCTTATGGTTTTACCTCAAAAAACTTATGATTTAGGGAGATCCATTATACAAAATCATTCAGAAGGTTTTAGAACCATTAAGAGGCAGATTTTTTTTTGCCAAACAAGATTCACCTCTTAACGATTCATAGGTTGCCTTTTAATGAAACTATTAAGAGGTAAACAAACAACCCTAAGGCTTCAACCTTTCTTTCTTTCATCTATTCGACAAATTAAGATAGGTTCTTTATGTTTTAGTTTGATTTCTTGATATATGATGGTGTCTAGATATTGTATCTCTACAACACTAAGTGGTAACACATGCAAATATACACTTGTCAACAGTATCACCTTCAAGTAATAAAATGATAAGTATCAAGTATCATATTCCACAAGGATATGTATCTTAAGTTGTAAGATTAACTTTAGATGTCGAATTTGAAGACTTTGATTGGATTTGAGTTATCACTACTGAAATAACATAATATAAAAAGGTAGCATGTGTGTAAGACTTGTGATGAGACATAAACACAAATTCTAGCAAACAATGTTGTAGGGATGCTACAACAAACAGTCAACCATAACTAGTTCCACCATCTATTTTGAGGGTATTCTTCTCGGACTTTCACCATTGCACTATATTATAGCTCAACCCATATCTCTATGTGGTATCAGGAACAGGGATAGTGATTAATGGTGTCCTCAAAATATATGGATAAACAAAAGTCTTTGTCGAAAATCACTTTCTCGAGCCGATTCCCATATCATTCAAGTTGGCGTGTATTATTAACACTTTAACACTTTAACAACAAGTGACCAATATGTTGAGAATTAATTAGTTTGAAAGATATAAATGACAAGTCTCCTTGTTGACAATTTTCTCAAGTCTACCTCTTATATCATACAAGTTGACGTGCATTTAGTGACTTATCTCTAAAACCATGACATTTTAACATTTTCAAAGTGATCAACTTGTCAAGAAGTATCATTGGGTTTTATAAAAACTTGAATGAAATAGTGGAACGTTGTTATTGCGAAACAACGTGCACTTTCCATCAGTTTAAAATCTCACTCTTTATCTCACATCAAACTAATAAAATTGGCTACTCATTACGGAAAGTAAATAACAATGAATATAATGAACCAGAAGTAAAGACACAAATATAAATGACGCAAAGTAAATGACTGAATGTAAATAGCGGAAAGTAAATAATAAAAGGAAAATAATGTAACGAAAATGACTCAAGATTTGGGATAAAAAAGAAAATATTTAGCTAAAAACTATAAGAATGAATATTTAATACATTGAATACTCAATGTATATCAATATATT